TATTTCACAAACTTTGAAGGAACACTTAGGCAGGGAATAATTTTTTGGGCGAGTAGCTCGAGGACTCGAAATATATTTACAGTACAAAAACGTATACCAAGGACTATCTACGGAATGTCTCCATTTCAGTCTTGTCAAGGGGTTTTTAAATCAAAGGGTGTTTTAACCGTGTGCGGTCTGTACATTTTTGAGGGAATATTATGTGTTTTTAAGAGTATATATTTACACGATAATAACGTTAACCAGGATCATAGCACCCGCACGGGAAACATTTTGTATCCAACACACAGACTAACACTATCTGAAAAGAGTCCGTACTATATGGGTAAAAAATTCTTTAATAAACTAGGAAACCACATTAAAAAAGCAAGAATTGAAAAATTGTTTAAGAATAAATTAAAACAGATGTTAATTGAGTTAGAGCCTTATAGTATTAGAGACTATTTAAATATGTAGCAACAGTACCTTTTAGTGTAATATGTCCTTTGTCAATTGTTTTTTAACGCCATTTTATTTCGTATTCTTTATACATGTGCATGTATCAGAATGTAATTTGAAATAAAGAAATAAATTTAAAAAATAGTTGGGAACGCGTCAAAGTTTTACAGCATGAAACAATATATTATGATGACAAAGCCTTCCTCTGTAATAATTCTAATAAACAATTATAATTAAGAGTGTCGGAAGTTTGGTAGACAATAATAGTCTTTTCATTAGTTCTTACATTATGGTTCGTATGTTGAAGCATTTTAATTGAGGTGTAGATTAAATAGAATTTGAACGTTTTTTCGTTCCGAAAAACGATAGACTGACTGTTGAGGGTTTTGGGTGGTGAGAGAGGGTTGTGGACTTACCAAGACCAGGTGGAAATCGGGGACACGAGCAGCAGACATACGGGCACGAAGACCGCGCGCATTGCATCACTTAGCCGCGTGCCCCATCACTGCACGCGCCGCGACATGCAACCGCTTCCACAAGCACAATGAAATGAACAACTACTGCCTCGACGAGCACTAAAGCTCTAACCAACGCTTGCGCCGAATTTCAGAGTCGAAAAAGCTTAGGGGTGCTTAAGACGCTGGTACTGAGCCAAGCGTCGTGAGCGAACTCTTGGAAAACTGCGCCAATCCGGACCGGCGTCGTCTTTATACAGCAGTGCGCTCCAGAAATTATTTGCGCCAAACCCACTAATATCACTGATTCTATGTCAATATTTCGAATTGTGAATGCTTTCCGTGTTTGCGTGGCGGCGAAACCTACCTACATTAATTGAGAGTTATTTCGGGCAATAAGGGCAAGCAGTATTAAAATTTGTGATATATTGACACGCCAAATACGGGATCGCTTAACAACGATCCTGCACGGCAGCGATTCTGTACAGCTTTATTTTTACCTAAAACTGCCAGTTGCCATTTTTAACATCCGCTTGTAGGTTATTTCATTGTATGCACAACCTAGTTTCATTTGCTACCCGTTTTATGAGTTTTGAATCAAAAGACTGTTTTTTTAAATGATCCAAATTAAAATTTCTCCGTTAAGGTTCACTTACGGTCATTTGTTTTAAAGACAAAACATAGTCTTTCTTCATTCTCATAACCATCCTTGTTTAAGTATAAGGCCCGAATTCAAGAACGACACTCAACCATCACACACTAAAATCCAACTCATCTCATCCTAACAGTATTCAGAAACCATTTTCTTAAATGAGTGACTAAACTGTCCCTAACTTTGAATTGAAGACATGCGCGTTAAGTACCATAAGTGAGTGAGAAATTTGGGCTTTTCGTCTCTTCATAGCGTACTCAAGATTTATTTTGGTGCATTTTGACCAATTAAAATCCGGCAGTTTCATCAAGTTGCAAGTTTCCCTGGAATGATTGTATGTATAAATGGCACCCACATTGAAATAGCAAGCGAAGGTGGATCAAATGCATGAACAATGAAGCTGTAGCTGGACCGAACTTAAGGATATTATTATTAATTAGCCAGGTTCTGATCATGATATCAGACTTTTTATGGCAGTTCCATGGAGATAGTGCTTATGCCCAGAATAGGCATATGTATACTTCAGAAACATCGAAAAACCCAAAAAGAGGAGCCGAGCAGCGATATAATAACGCATATATTTTAACAAGGAATGTTATTCAAGGCGCTTTTGGTGTATGGAAAGGTCGTTTTAAACGTTTAGAAGTGCTTGGAAGTATCATTACGACATTCCACCAGAATTGTTGCTGCTACAGCGGTGGTTCTTAATATTGCCATTGCCACCAGCCAGAAGTTAAATATAAGCATATTCTCGATAGTTTTATATTCAATTTCATCTTCACTTGCTCCGCCTGTGACTGCTGCTTCTAGTATGTCCTCCATTGTAAATATTAAGGTGAAATGCTTAAACAGCATCCAAAATCCAATAAAGGTAAACAATACAAAGTCAACAATTTAAAATTAACTTAATTCTGTAAGGTTGGCCACAGGAGTTAAGTTAGACACTTTTAAAATGGAAAGCAGTGAAGCAGATAACGCTAGTGAAGCAATAAAATAAAGAGTAATTTTATCACTGAATGACCGTATTTATAACTTCTAATAACTCGCCATCATAGTAACAAAACAAATGAGATATTATTATACGTTTTGAAATGAATAAATGAATCGGATTCCATTCAAGAAACTGAAACGATAAGTATATTTTTCCGACTGTATGCTTATTATTGACGCAGTTGCAACCTAAGTGCAAACATAATTACGCCAATACTCATATTTCCACTACATTGCTTAGTTCACAATTAAATAATTAAATTCTTCGTGCGTGTGATAGTAACAATAGTAAAGTAGCAGTTTAGACGAGTATATGAAGTGTTTCCGAATGATGTGCAAATATTTTAAGGGTTTTTTGGTGCCAATTTTGGAGCACGTTAGAAACTAGTCGAGAATGGTCTGTGATGGCCTCTACTTGCCCAGTTCCTCTGTCTGAATGAAGGAAATTAACGACCCTTGTTTGTTTTTCTCGTAAGAGTGTTACTCCCGATAGCAAGTGCCATCAATAATGGAACCCACTGTAATAATTAAAAATTTATATTAAATAATAGGTCAGCGTTCTGCTAATTGAAAGGAAACTTGGTTAAATAGTTTAAATAACATATAAATTGTGCTTTCAATGCACTTTTTATCCTCCATGTATCTTTGTGTTAATATATCTTTTCAATATTTTCTACGAATATTTGCGACCTAATTCTCATATTCTTTTTACATATGGCAATGATTCCTTGAATAGTTCTGCATGGCATTATTATATATGAACCACTTTTAGTGGCCAATTGTTAATGATGCCAGTTTTCTTGGATTTGAGAAAATTTAATTCATGTGCGGAAAGACGCAACCATATCTGGATCCAGCCGTGCAGATGATGCTGGTGAAGATGATCTCTTCTTAGCATTTTTTACCATTTCTAACACCATATTATTTTTTTTTCTTCATTTGTTTGGGTCTAGCTATTAACAAGTCTTTGTCGATGTGACATATACATACAGATTCATCTATATAAGAAGCGAGGTTCCTACAGCTACAACCATTTCTCGCTTCTCAATTTACATTTTTTCAGTCTCTCCAATCTCCATCTGGTAGATCTCTTGATTCCATAGCTACTTCTCCCTATTTCTAACTCCTTGGTTGTTTAACGCGCTTTCTGCGCTCAAGAGGAATCCATTTCCATATTTTCTTTGCTGATCGATTTCCATCCTTTCTTAGGATGTGCCCCTTTTAGATTAATATTTTTATATCTATTGTGTCTAGAATATTATTTTCAAAGTTGATCGGTGGTCGTATAGTATCAGTTCTCACGTGATCTGGTCTGGAAATATAACAGCTTCATCTGAAAAAATCAATTTCAACCTATCGTTATCTCTTTTATTCATTTCCCTAGTACCCGTAAGTTCACATACTTTTCACGACCTTTTTATTAATGATAATTTTTGTCTTTCCCATTATTTCTCAGCTCCAAAGAAACGGGCTTAGTTGCCTAATTACTCATTGACCTATCTTGTTAGTGATGTCTCCGGCACAAGAGGGAGTACTTCCAAGGTATCGAATTGAAGAACAACCCTTGATCTTATCGTGTTACTTATTATCATCTTTTTCTTCTAAATTAATATCTTCGCATCTTAATCAGTCACTCACTAATTCCCCATTTGCTTACTTAAATCCATATCAGTAGAGTCTTTCCCAAATGTAATGTAGACTTTTGCAATGACTTTGGAAAAAAACGTAGGAATAAAAGTCACAATAACCAAGAATTGGTTAATATGACTTTAATTTATGGAAAATATAATAGAAAAAAGCTACAAGCTGAAATGGTATAGATCGACAGATTTCGGATTCGTCTTATTTCACATGTTCAATCTTCCACCAAGATTAACTTAACACTTAGTGTGACAGTTGGAAACGTAACAATAGCACAATTTCAGAGGATTATTTGTGTACTAACTAAAATCTCAAAAATTGGAGATTGTTAAAAATCAAGTATTGCGGTCGACAAAGCACAACCTGTCACGAAGACTATTGCGGAATAACTTCTTGAAACATTGTCCTGGGTACAGCAACTCTCAATATCTTAGTCGAAGAGCAACCAAACCATCTTCTAAGGTCCTTCAAGAGTTCTAAGAGTTCAGACGTCTAACAGATCTTCCATGAGTTTTCCCTCATTTATTAGGCTCAGTAATTCGTATTTTTCACCTATCATGATATGGCATATGTACCTTGTTTTTCTCTCCATAATGATGGTTAATAACTCTTTCGACTGTTTTATTTATTTTAATACCTATCTTTTGGTTTAGTTTGTCACTCGGCGAATCCATGAGATGCGATGCATGCGGCAATATAAATACATCTCAAAAGCTCCTTCTATCAGTCATCGGAGCGAGAGTCCAGCCTTCACATCCGAACAGCAATACACTGAAGATATAGCACCTGACCACGTACTCTCAACTCCAAACTCAAATCAAGGCTGGTAAAAAACTGTTTCATTCTGGTGAAAATTGTTCTAGCTTGCTCTATTCTATATTGTATTTCCTGTTTTGTGTCGCATAGCGAGTTGATTATGGTGCCAAAATATTTGAGGGACGAGACTTGGTCGATATTTCTTCCATTGATCAAAAGCGTTTCGGTGATCTGTACCTTAGAGAAAACGATCAACCTGGTCTTTGAAACGTTCATGTGTAGTCCATCATTTTTTGCAAGTCTTATTTGTTGTCGGCTATCACCGCGATGCTATCTGACTATATGTGTGACTACATTCACCTTAATACCTCCTAAATTCTGCAATAGAGCTTCTCTGAGAATGACTGCGCGTAAATGTTAAAAGAAAAGTGTTAAAGAAATAGTGTTTTGATTGATGATTATTAATTATCTGGAAAACTGTGAATTCTTCTGACATAAATTTTACTGAAGATGTTGTTCTCCTAATTAGAAATTTATTAAAAAGCCGCAAATAAACTTCAGACTTCAGACTTGCATCGATCTACATTAAAAAGGCAGTTATTTGGACCGAGCCAGAGTCAAACAACCTAATTTAAAGACAATATTCTATATGGTTGAAGCGGATACATACATATACGGAAATATTTTATTTTGTCACCAATTTAGGATAGTTGGACAGAGCTCGTTTCTTCGCGTCTTTTGTTATAATCTGTCTCAGAAGAAGTCCCAACTTTTCAGACAATATTGAGGCTGCAATTAATTAAGCGCTTTGGCGAATTATCTACCCATTTTAAGTGGTTACATCTCGGAGTATGTAACTAAATGCACCTGTTCGAAAAGCTGATTACTCAACTTATTATAAACGAAACGTACGCCAGTACGAGTATTTGAGCGAATGTATGGGATCCATAGCAGAACTTGGCAGAACAAAACATGCTTCAATGCTCTCTATATTTGCCGACTTGTACGCATCTCATTGTGCGGCTGAAAAAGCATGAACAACAGCTTATATGAATGTTAAAACTATTAATAGATATTAACAAAGGCTAGTCAAATTTAGTAAAAATCAGTAGGTAGTACATATCCTAAATAGACCAAAAATTGAAGAAACATTTAACTTAGTTGAAAAATAATCAAAATCCACATTTTAAAATTGTCGTTAACTTTGCTAACGCTTAAGGCGACCTAGTTGGCCATGAATACCTTTTTTTTTGTTGGTCCAGGA